CTTTTTGCGCCATTTTTGGAGGGAGCTATTCAATATACATGAGACTATCCTGAAACGGAGTACCGCTTACTACCCTCTGACAAATGGCCAAACATAGGTAGTAAATCGCAGTGTGGAGGCTTATCTTTGTTGCTTTATCTTGAGTACCCCAAAGTTGTGGGCCAAATAACTAGCCTGGGCAGAGTATTGATATAACACTTCATATCATACAACAGCCCAGACAACACCATTTAAAATCCTATATGGTAGAGATCCCCATCATTTGCTACATTATGGGCATGACAACACACAATATCGTCAGTGGAGCAGTACTTGGGAAAAAGGGATTGGATATTGGCAGAATTGAAGAGACACTACTGCAAGCACAACAAATGTAGAGCAAACATATAGACACAGGAGGGATGTGTAGTTTGAGATTGGAGACAGAGTTTATCTGAAGATTCGATCTTACAGACAGAGGACTCTAGCAAGATGGAGTAATGAGAAGATTTCCCCTTGATACTTTGGGCCATGTGAGATCGTGGAGCGCATTGGTGTGGTCACCTATCGCCTACTGTTTCCACCAATTTCATCCACTCATTCAATATTTCATGTGTAGCAGCTAAGATGAGCCATTGGAAACCATACACCTCACCCATACTGCCGGCTACACTGACAGAAGATATGGATGTTATATTAGAAATACTAGAGGTGCAAGGGGAGTGCGAAGGAGACAAGGGGATCAAGAAAGTGTTGATCAAGTGGAAGAATTTACCAGAATATGAAGCGACATGGGAAGCCTACAACATTATCCAGAGGCAATTTCCTTATTTCCATATTAAGGACAAGGTGACTATTCGGGAGGGGAGTATTGATACTGTTGTGGATCCCACCTCATTACAAGAGTCAAAAGGCTCTTGTTTTGTGGGTCCTATCACCTCATTTCAGACCTATAGGAGGAAAAAGTTTAAGGGGAGATCGTTGGAGGAAATGTGAGGTGCATTTATGGTGAGAAAAGTTTAAGGGGAGATCATTGGAGGAAATGTGAGGTGCATTATGGTGGGATTAGAGCTGATTTTAAGAGGGAAAGTTTGTATGTGGGAGGGATTACGTGAAGAATTTTCTGAAACAATTTTTCTTAGGTGATTTATGGTTCCTAGTTGCTACTAGGAAATTGGGGGAGAGCTGATTCATATCTCGAACAGTGAATCAATTGTATCTTGTGTTTTTTTTTTATTGAAGATTGTTCTTTCAGCTTTATTAGTGTTATTCTTGCATACCATTTTTGTTTTCTCTTCATTTTAGTGGTTATTTTTTGTTGTTTGGTGTTGATTTCGCTCTAGTGGTCATTTTGGGTGCTGATTTGATCTCCAAAACAAATCTGAATGTTCCCCTTCTTGTACTCCTTAAGTAATTTATTATCAGTGGCTCCTTTGAACGCAAAAACTGCAAGACAGTCAAAATTTGTCTAATGAAAAATAATGACTTTGATTGTTATCTTTGTAGTATAAAAAATTTTTCTTGCAACATAAAATACTTCTAGTTTTTTGGCAAAATTTCATGCTAATTTGAACGCTTAGCCTGCACTTACAATATAATTTTCTGTTAGGAGCTCTCCATGCAATTTTTTCTAATGTAACAAGTATATAAAATAGCGTAACTAAATTATATTAAGTGGACAAGATAAGAAATATTAGATTGCCTTGGGCAGATCATAATGTTAATTAAGGAGCCTATTTTTGTCTCTTAGATGAATACCAATAAATTATTTTGATGGATGAACTTTAAATTTTATTGATGTTGTAAGTCCAGAACCATGAATATGTTGATAAATTAGCGCATTATCTTGTACTACTTTCAAGCATACAGTCTATCTGATTTGGTGCAATTTAAGTGCAATAGAAGAGAAGCAATGGGTTGTAGATGTGAAGCTTGTCACATCTAAGGTTTCTAATCTATGGAGGAGAATTTGGAGAAAACACTTGCTGGTGATTAAACATAGAGAGAGCAGCATGAGAAATCTGACTTTGGGCCGAGAGCTGAGCAAAGAATAACAAATAAAAAGAGAGGGAGAGAGGTAGAGAGACATTGAGGGAAGATAAAAGAAGAGAAAGTTTATCTGGTTCTTTCGTTTGTGGCTATGGTTAATTTTCTCAGACCTAATGCAAACATGGTAGTGTTGATGCAAGAATGATGGTGCTACAAAAAATCCAGTAGCAGTGAACAGCAAATACTTCTCAAGATTCTTTGATTTCTTCCCCTTCATGTTATTGGTTGTTCTTTATTATTCTACCAAAACATGAAGGGCTATGTGAGAAATTTTTTCATACCCTTCTCTACTTAGAGTAGAATATTCTCCTGGAAGTTGTGGATGTAGTTGACTTAATTTCACCAAAAACACAAATATTTTGTCTTCTATCAGAATAGTTTTGATTTTTTTTTTTCATCCTCTCATATTTGCTCTCACATCTACCTTATTTTCTAATAAAGTTCTAAGGGAAATAATGATGAGGTGAATAGGGATAACTACTCAAGGTTCTTCAAATTAGTCTCCCTCAAATCTTTTACTTTACAAATTGTAGCTGTATTATTCTCCCAAAATATAAATGATTAAAATTTTTTATGCACCCTTCTCTATTCTAGTGGATTATTTTCTCAATGTAATTGAGTTCATTGCTATACTAGAATATTCTTTTTTTTTTCTTTGTATAGTCGTGGATGCATTTGAGTCATTCTTGTCGAACCACATAATTGTTTTCTTCCATTTAAATTTTCTACATTTTTTTGTTGTTCTCACTTTTGCTATAACGACTATTTTTTCCTAGCGTATAAAGAGTTGATTGGTTGATATTCCCTCATCAGAAAAATCCTGTCCAAAAAAACTTGAAGTTCCTCAAAGTTTAATTTTAACTCCAGTAGATCCATTGATCATATTTCAAGTCATTATGAATATGTATGCAAGAGCTATTACTTGTGTTCAAACACAAGGTGGTTTGACCAAGCATTCTCCTATTTCAGTTGGATTACATCAAGGATCAACCTTAAGCCCATATCTTCTTTCTTAGTCATGGATGTTCTCACTAAACATTTGCAAGAAGCTTTACCCTGTTGTATGCTTTTTGTTGATGATATTCTTCTGGTTGATAAGATTAGAGAGGGAGTTGAAGGTAAACTTGAATTATGGAGGTCAACCTTAGAGTTTAAAGATTTTCGTTTGAGTAGATCTAAAACTGAATATATGGAGTATAATTTTAGTAGTAATAGATCTAGGTGGTTTGACCAAACATTTTCCTATTTCAGTTGGATTACATCGAGGATCAACCCTAAGCCCATATCTTAATGCTTTAGTCATGGATGTTCTCATTAAACATTTGCAAGAGGTTGTACCCTGGTGTATGCTTTTTGCTAATGATATTCTTCTTGCTGATAAGATTAGAGAGAGTTGAAGGTAAACTTGAATTATGGAGGTCAACCTTAGAGTTCAAAGATTTTCGTTTGAGTAGATCTAAACCGAATATATGGAGTATAATTTTAGTAGTAATAGATCTAGGGGGGATTGTGACTTTGGGTGATCAAGTCATTAATAAGAGTACACGTTTTAGATATCTTGGGTCTATTGTAGAGTGGTGGTGAAATAGGGGAATTTTATTAGTATAATACAAGTTGAATGGTTGGATTAGAGGAATGTGATATGCCTTGAATGTGAAAATAATGATAGAACAACAGAAAACAATAGAAATTCTAATAATGATGGCTGATTTTAGATTAGAACTTCAATACGAAAATAATATACAAATGATCTAAGATTAGAGAGGTAGATCTGCTCTTTCAATCAACCTAGATGGCATAAGTACTCCAAGAAAAGAAACTACAACAAAACACAATCAAGATATAATCTAAAAATAAATATGATTAGCCAAAAATAGACTTCCCAAATTCCTTCCTAAACCAGACCTTTTCCTTAATTGATTCCCTCCTCAATTTTAATTTGATTTGGATATCTTTCTTGAATAAATTCCCCCCAATTATAATTAAAACCTTCCTAAATATCTCTCCCTCTATTTCTCTTTCTTACGTATTGATTTAGATCTTTCCCGGACCCCACAAGGTGGGGCGAACCCCCATGCGGTTCTCTTGAACCTAGCGGGTGACTCCCACTCGTAGAAGGCTCGCACGTAACAGAATGCATCAGGCTTGTTGTGTGATAAAAAAGTCTCCCTCAAACTTAAGGAAAAATTCTATAAGATGGTGGTGAGACTTGCAGTGATTTATGGTGCAGAATGTTGGCCGTTAAAAGAGAAGCATAATATTAAGTGTTGCAGAGATGAGGATGCTTAGGTGGATGAGTGGCTTTACACTTAGAGATAGAACATGAAACAAGCAAATCCGTGAGAAGGTTCTCCAATGGAAGATAAGATTAGAGAGAGTCGCCTTAGATGGTTTGGTCACATAAATCGACAACCTTCCAATGACCCGATTAGGAGAGTAGATGTATTAAATTTGACTTATGTTAAGAAAGGTAGAGGTATACCTCAAAGACTTGGTTAAAAAATATTAGAAATAATCTGTCTTTATTAGATTTAAATGAGAACTTGATTCAAAACAATAGTAAAAAAAGGATTTATATAGCCAACCCCGCGTAGTGGGATAAAAGGCTTGATGTTGTTGTTATTGTAGATCCATTGATCATATTCACTATCTTTTACAGAAACATAGATTATGTAAGGAATTTAAAATGACAATTCAATGCAATGCTTTGCAAGTTTTACAAAAATGAACATTCTTTAGTCTTGAATGTACTTTAATGACAGTGCAAAACCTTAAGGTGTCTTCCCCATTACCAATAAATTACACATATTAGCATCTAATAAATCAACATAAATGAATATAACTTCCAGATTTAAAAGATTTATATGTGAGGAAATTTGCAACACATGTTTATTTATAATCATACTGTCGCATAAACCTCCTAATACTACTGGAGCATACATTATCGGAGAAATGAAAACTACAAATTTTACCTTTTCAGGATCTTTTATTGAACCTTTTCCTCTAATATAAACACGACAGCCTGTTGATACTTCAACACGTTTCAGAGAATTGCCTCTGGGCCCGAGAAGGCGTCCGACAAAATTGAACTACAGCCATATAAAAGTCAACAGCAAACCGAAACTAAGAAAATAATAGCATCAATCAAGAAAGAAACCTACATTGGGATAGCTATCCACTGGAACATCTAAACGTAAGATCTTCTTAACAAAATATGAACTAGGGGAAGGAGGTGCTCCCTGCCAATCCATTGACATTCCTTGGGGAAAACCCCATCTCTGCTGAATCAAAATATTCAGAAAATGAAGGAGCTGATTAGTTTTCTTAATAGCAAAAAAAAAAAAATCAAAATATAAGTCAGTTATCAAAGGGGAAGAAAAATAATATAGGAACCTGGATGAATTACCAAGAAATAATTTCAAATGTGAATAGCACAGGGAATCAGTTTAATCTTAAATAAGATGCCTGAAGATAGCAAAAAGTAAGGACAACCAGGCATTTATTTAACATCGACAAAACCCTGGAAAATAGTTTTAGAAGGAACGGGTGCATATCATGGAGTAAGTTATATAAGTTTCTAGATTTTGCCAAATGTATGAAAAATGTTAATATCAGATTGAAAGCAATTACTCATCACGTAGCATCTAAGTAATTAATCTAGGCACATGATAAGCATAAGGTAATTCATGATGGCTTAGGGTGTAGAGTTTTCTAATATAAATCTAGGTGAGTTGCACAAAATCATGCATAACAAGGTAAAATTCACAATTAAAACTTCAATTTAAACAAGTATTCACCACTTTAGATGAAAAAAAAGTAAAAACCATGCAAATAATATTTTAATGGTTGTTAATAGAAATGTAGCATAGAAATTTAGGATCACTAAAGAATCACACATTTGATTAGCAACTCATAATGCAATTTAAAAAAAAAAAAACATCAAATTTGTAAGTAATCAATCATACAAGCAAACTATTCACTAATTATAGGTTAGAAAATAGGCAAAGAAAAAAATACATCAAATAACAACCTATGCCTCATACGGTACAAGCACATAACTTCCCTCAAGAATAGATTGTCACTGATTGCATCACATCCAACCAAAACTCAAGCGAAAAAGAAGAGATGCAATTGAAGTACAATATCAATGGAGTTGTTTTTTATATGCCTTAGGAATCCCTAATTACAATCACAAATCCCCTGAATTTACAAGATTGGAAGATAAGATCGGCAAGCTCATCCTGAAGAATAATAAAATTCCTACAAGTACAATCAAAGTCAGGAAGAAAATCCTAAAACCACAGAGTTACAAACATAAGCAACAACTATAGAACCCAAAATTACAAATCACAGCTAGGAACAATTGTGATTCACATGAGGTTAGCTGGGAAATAGAGCTACAAATCAAGGAACAATACTTGAATCAGAAGTCATGACTGGGATCAGAATCGCATATAAACTATTAATAAAGATGGAAGTCTTGTAATTGTTATAGTTGGATATCAATCTATTTGACTTAGAAAAATTCAATTTTGAAGAATTGTTCAATTGATATTTGCCATGTACATTGGGGCATAATTGTTACAATTTGAAAAATACCATTAAAAAAAAAATCTAGCCAGTGTCAATTAAAATAAACCAATGTTTTGTTGTGTTTGCTTATTTAACGAGAGACAGAAGGCGAAGCGGGATAAAACAAAATGAGTAAATGATAGGGAGAGTCCGAGAGAAAGGGACAAAAGAGAAGGAGATTGTGCACAAGTGACTGAGAGAAGGAGAGAGCAGGCGAGGCTAAGTAGACTTCGAGGGAGAAGGAAACCAAGAGAGTGGGCGTGGGCATATTTAGTCGAACAAGCACGAGGGAAAATATGAGAGAAGAAGCAAGCGATCAAGTGAGATTTCGGGCATGCAAAAGGCTGAGACAAAAAGGCCAAATGATCAAACCAAGGACCTGGACATAAGCAAGTGTTGACCAGGTTAATTTTATGAAACTCTAAAGAGCACAGTGTTAAGTTGGGGATTCTTATTTTGAATGAACTTAATTAAGATTTTTATTAAAAGAAAGTTGCAAGCTTTTGATTTTTTCTTTAAGGAAATGGTTGATCGGGTTGAAATGAGGAGAAGAGAACGATTGGGGAAAATGTTTTCCGATGACTACTTCGGCTCAAGAAGAAGAACAGGAAGATGAAAGTTCGGTTGAAGGGTCACGAGCGCGAGAAAGAGAGAGACAAGAGAGTTGGTGGCTGCAAGAGAGAATTAACTTTAATTACAACTTCCTTTGTTGTCTATCTTCTTCTAGTTTATTTCAACAGCAACACCTGTCCTGAATTGAGCTCAGTAACCTTTTTTAAATTTAGTTCAACCGGTGTTGTTAAAAATGCACTTCGAATCTAACTTTTGAAGTAACGCGATTTGATGTGAGAAACTTATGCTTCATGTTGGGGAGTAAACCACACCACAAACACAAAATAAGAAAGAGAAAATGTAGCGAAAAGAAATAACACCAGGATTTAATGTGAAAATTTTTGAAATCGGAAAAAACATGGAGCCACACCAAGAAATTAACTATAAAAAATGGGAGAAATGTATACAATTCTATTTCTTTCTCACTCTCTCCTTATCTCTCTACACTCTTGTATTGTTCTTCTGCTTAAACAAACAAAGAGAACCCCACTAAAACCACCAAGGGACGCAACCCTTCATAAAAAAACGAGAAAGAAAACGGCTCAACCCGCCTCACAGCGCTACAACGCCAAGTTTGGAGCTTCACCGCAATCCACTCTCTATCTTCAATCTGCCTAACAGCGTGGCAACACTTCTTGACAATACCAGGATTTGAAGTGTTGTAGCACTCAGCACTTTGTCTATCTCCAGGTAAACTATACAACACTGCAACACTGTACAGTTGAATGGGAAAAAAAATTATGGAGGGAAGGACCCCTTACAACCCCGATAAGCTGCAAATCGAGGTCTTAGACAACAGTACAACTTGATTGATTGACAAAATCAAATTCCACACAAAACTAACACCATCGATCCACAATGAATTTCACAAATGCTGCAATTCTACTCCTCACATCTCACACTTGCTGGTCTACTCTTAATCATTATAAATGCAAAGCCTCTCCTGATTAGACGGTGGACTCGCACAAGCAACAAGAGAAATGACATGCAGGCAATAGTAGACTCAAGATGTAGATGACTTCACGCAGACTGCATGAGACACTGACAAACTCAAGCAAACTCAACTCTTAATTTCAAACAATGATATCCTTTCTTCATTTTACTTCATATATTTGATTATTCACCCTGTTAAGAATTCTTGTTCAACTACTCAAGTTAATTCTTATTAAAGGTGTGCATAACACATCTTTTGAGTTTACTTTATCACACTATTCTTAGTTGGCAATTGTTTTCCTTGTTTGACATGAAAATGCCATTGTTTATTTCATAACTATGATTTATATGAAATTTGTCAAATAGAATAATACTACATAATATTCCTTCTCATATTTGTACTTCAATTACTTAAGTGTGTGCTTGATTTGTGCTTCACGCTTCAAAGCATCAAAAAGCCTTTTTACTATTTGCTTGATGACAAGTGACAACCAAAGTTCAATAATATTTTTTTCCAGGCCCTTTATCCACCACATAAAGCTTACTATTCTTTGTTAATGAACACTCTAATCACTCTCATATTCAATGACTATATTATGCCAAAATTATTTAAATAAATAATTTGGTGTCATACCTTTTTTATCTGCTCCTATAAATCATACCAGATATTGGCAAATCATCACTAGCGGTTGAATGGATTCAATTCATCCAATAATAAGAATGTTATAAATCCTCCTGATGTTTCCTATTTGTGCATCCAAGCCGCTTGTTTAAAAGGTAAAATTACGACCAAGATTCATTAACTTATCATAGTGACTTAAGTATATAGTCTTACTGTCTTAGAAGCTTTTTTGTTTGATTCCAGTTGTGAAAAAAAAAATTATGGGAAATATGTTTCAATATAAGTATTTAGATCTCAAATTTAGAACGAGTCATGCTAAAGTGAGTTGCAATGATATACGATTATTCTGAAGGAATTCGTTTCTTTTGGACTCAGTTCTCATGCTTTTTGGGTCAGAGCAAGTTTCATTTTTACACTCTCACATTTATTTTTAATTTATTATTATTATTATTATTATTATTATTATTATTATTATTAAGGGAAAATAAGAGGGAAAATATCATCCAATTCCTTCAAGTTTGGATCGTGCTTCATGCAGGTTCATATTTTTGAAGACCCTCCACTTCCTCTCTAGTGACTTTTGAGATTTCACTATGATCTCCCAACATAGTTTTTTATTTTTCACTCTTCACAGAGATTCAATTTTACTAAAAAAATGTTAAATATTATGTCAATTTGGCTAATGCACATTTTTTTTACTTAAATTTGAATGAAGTTAAATTTTATAACCAATATACCCTCATTCTCGAGATTCTTCTCTTGTTCTAGGGCTAAGCCATTCCCGAAAATTTTCCAAGCTCCATCACTTAGGAATGGAATCCAATGAACTCTCTTGATCTCAAAATCAGACTGCTTGGAAATGAGTCCTCAAGATTCTAGTTGTTGTTGAGGTCAAGCCACTCACTCTACCGGAGTAGAGAGGTGGAGGAAGCAAGACAAAAGGAGGATAATATGGTTTGGCCAGAGATAAGGTGTGTTGGGAACACCAGAGGAGGTAAAATGGGCAGAAATTGTTGGAGATAGCTGGCATTAGAAGTGGGAAAGGAGGGGACCACTTGTGCATCAGAAGAAGAAATGGAATAGAGGGAAAAGAGAGGGGCATTGGTGTCTTTTGTTTGTTCAATTGATGATTCTGTTAGCAAAAGAATCTATATGAAGCATAAGTCAAACATCAGAATCTAAGTGTAAGATTTTCTAATACTTGAAACAGCATCAATATGTAACAAATTTGAAGATCTAAGTGGCAATATTCTATTGTTATTTTACACCAAGTAATATTTTAACCAATTATTTCAATACTTTGATATTATTTTTTTGTTATTAAAAGTAAAAATGTAAAGTTGAAACTGACTATTTAACCCTTAAGGTTGAAAGTTGATTCTTGGAATGTGATTTTCAAGAATGAGAACTCAATTCAATCCAATTTCAGCCAAAGAAATGTTTAAACTTCTTGAAGTGATACTAAATCACTTTCAAGCACTTAACAGTGAAGTAAACTAGCCCTAATAGTAATATGTCTATGCATCAATAACTTAAATAATCTTATCAAAGAAACTTAATTAACATGCTCAATCTGAAGAAGTCACAATGAGCCCAAAATTTCACTGATAGCAATCATAATTAGTACTCCTTCTAAATTGGCAAAATTAGAAGCTTGAACTGATGATAACTTAATTAATAAGCCATAAAAATGAAAGGGAAAAATTTTGAAAATGGAACAAAAAGAAAAATGCATTATCATTCATTCACCTCTTGCTGCAACCCACTCCAAGAAATCAAGCCAGTGTCTATGATGTTTGAGGTAAGTTTTGGTGAAGTCATTGGTCTGGGGCTTCCATGTTGCAGCCTATCAAACTGCCCAAATCCTTTGGGAACCATTCCTGAGACTCGCATAACTTCTGTCAACACAAAGGATATATATCAGAGCACATGAATACAGAAGGAAAAGAGATACCTGGATAAAGCATTTAGTACATCAAGATTTTACATTTATTTAGCAATAGCATTAACACAATATATGAGGCTAATTTTAAGCACAAAATAAAGTAAATGTTTAACCACCCACGTCATTTTGGAAACTAAATATTTCCTATCTGTACCAAAGAGGCCCATAAAACATTATATTTTGAAGTAAGATGCAAATTTCACAAAACAACCAAAGAATATATAAAGTTAATTGCTTCATGTCTACTTTCTATGTTTTCCATTAATGCATACAGCAAAGTAGAAACAAGTAGTTATTTCCTTAACATTTGAAGAGTGGTTAGGATACAAATCTCAAAGTTCATTGTTGTTGAAACACAAGTTGTGTAAATTAAGACAAAAAAAAAGACTTTATTTCAGTGTTGTTGTTTTGTAGGAGTATTAGTTTTCGTATTTTTATTAAAATAAAGCATGTCTATGATGTTACCTACTGTGAAAGTTTATTTTTATTATCTAATCTGTCTCAGTGATTGCTCTTTTGGAAGCCTCTCAATTTGTAGTTTGTGGTGCTGCAAATCTTTCCTCAGTTACCTTCCTAGCCAATACAGTTTCATCAAGGTTGCTGTTAGGAATGAATTGTATGACTTCGGAGATGTTTGTGAACTGGATGGTTGCTCCAGCATGACCAATATTAAGAACAGCCTAGGGAAATTGAACTTTTGATCCCTATCCCTAGCCCGGCTTTGACGGTCATCACAGAATTAACAAGCGTCATATTTCAGCAACCAATCATAGAACTTCCAGGGATTAGAGTTGACCTGAATTTCTAGTTCAAAATTATGTTGCAAGAGAAAACATAAATTTGACATGAATGAACATCTATATTTCAGATGTCCATAATGAATGAGACAAAATATAATTCTTTCATCCAAAGATGAAGAGAGAAGTAATGCCTAGCGGAGTCGCCAGAATCTGTTAGCTCAAGAAAATGGCGCGTCGACATGAATCCCACTTTGCAGACATAGGATTTCATTCTCCTTAAGTCAGATTGTAGTTAATCAAATTTCCCTTAAGGGTAATATCAGGGTAGATTTGGGTCCTAACTTCCCATGAGCGTAAGCACATGACTTTTGGATATAAACCTACGGGTTTCTAGGATAGCTTGCGAGCTATGCCTTTTCTTTCTCTCTTTGCCTTAATTGATGTAGGCAAGCTTTGGGCTGCTTGCTGCCTTTCGGGTTCCTCCCTGGCTGCTTTCCCGTGGCTTCTCTTACCCGGTTTCTGTGTTGGCTTTTCGGGTTACTCCCTGACTGCTTTCCCGTAGCTTCTCTTACCCGGTTTCTGTGTTGTCTTTTCGGGATCCACCCTGGTTGCTTTCCCGTGGCTTCTCTTACCCGGTTTCTGTGTTGCCTTCTCAGTTTCCTCCCTGATTGCTTTCCCGTGGCTTCCTCTACCCGGTTCCTGTGCTGTCTTTTGGGAATTGTTTTGTGTTGCATGCTCCTTTCCCGTGGCTGCTGTTATCTGGTTCCTGTGCTGCCTTTTCAGGTGCTATTATGGAATTAAATGCTAGGTTTCTATTGGTCCAATTGGAGTTGAAGTGGATGTTTGGTTGCCAGCTTTTCTCTTATAAATGTAAGGTGTTTGGGCAAAGAAACAGAGTTGATATAATGAGATTTTTTGAGCCAAAAACCTGAGGGGTTTTTCTTCTTTCTTGGAAAAGCTTGCGAGCTTGTTCCACCTCTTCGTCTTCCTCTAGGAAAGCTTGCGAGCTTGTCCTTTCTTCGTCTTGGTCTTCTAACCCCTTTCTTCTCTTTGCAAGATCGATGCCACTTGTATCCTTCTTCTCAATCCAAGAAAGCAACTTTAGGTGTATTTTTTTGTTTGTGTTTGTGTCAAAGTTTGTAAGTCTTTTATCTTATAAAAAGTTGTAGTTTGTCGTATTTTTGAGAATTTGGTGTATTTTCTTTATCCTAGGAAGCGTGTGTTTTTTGCTTGCAAAAATTTGGGGCTTTTCCAAAATTTTGCATGCATCATTACCCCTCTTAATGCATAAGAGAGAACTTTCAATTAAGGATGAACAATTTTAGGTTTTTTAGTCTTAGTTGTGGGAAAAATAAAGGTAAACCGGATCAAGATCCCATGGTTCCATTGTCTCGGGTATACCGTAAGTTTCAGTCTACCTTCATTAGTAATCTTTGATCGTTATGTCTAGGGAATTTGATTAGCAGTCATGGGTTACCTCCTCTCATGGATCCTGAGTAAATTGAAGTGATTATGAGTGGGTTGTTGTAATTTTATGGAAGTTTGGAGTTTACATTTGTTATAATACCTAATAGTTGATTTAGTTTGGGATTTATGACTTCGTTTAGAAGTTACTCAGTTAGTTGAATTGGTTTGGGGCTTACGACTTTTATTAGAAATAGCCTGATTGTTTAAAAGATTGGGTCTTACAACTCTCATTAGAAGTAATATGACTGTTTAAGAGTTTGAGTATTAATGTTTTCATTGAAAGTAACCCGAATAGCACGTCTTACAACTTCCTTTGGAAGATGCCTGTCTATTCTAGATAGGTCTTACGGCTTCTGTGTTTAGAAGTGGCATAGAGGTTTGGTTAAAAATCTTCATTATTTTGTGGAGGTTTTCTAAATAGCAAGTCTTATAACTTCCCTTGGAAGATTTCTGACTATTTTGATAGGTCTTACGGCTTCTGGATTAAGAAGTAGACTAATGGCGGGTCTTATAACCTAGCCCTATAGACTAAGTGACCTTTGTTGACAAGTCTTATGACTCCTTTAGAAATTGTTTGTAGATGAGTCTTACAACATAGCTCTATAGCAAGGCTGCCCGTTAGTTTAGTTTGGATTTTTAGGGTTGTTTCACTTCATTTAGAAGTTTCCCTAACATATATGGGTCTTACAAATTCACTTAAAAATTGTCCGTTGGTGGGTCATACAAACTAGCCCTAGGCTAAGCTGCCCGTTTGTTTGGTTTGAATAGGTCTTACATCTTCCTTTATAAGTTGCCTGATTATTTGGGTAGGTCTTATGGCTTCCTTTTGAAAGTTGTCTGTAGGTTTTGTTTGATTACGGGTACTATTACTTTCCTTAGAAGCGGCTCATAGGTTTACTTAGATAGATCTTATGACTCTCTTTAGAAGGTGTCTATAGTTTTATTTTAGAATGGGTCTTACTGCTTTTGGAAGTAGCCCGATTGTTTTAGTTTAGAGAAGATTAGACAACAGTTACTTTAGTTTAGCTTTTTACTATCTTTACACCAGTGTTTTCTTTTAGTACCATACTTTTCCTTCAATGTTGTAGTTTAGCTTAGCACTTATTCTTTAATTGCTTTAGTAGTTATTTCAGTACCATGCTTTTTCCTTATTTCAGCAATTTAGATTTAGCATTGATTAATTTTCTTTTTTTGTTTCTTCACTTGTAGATGCCTGAAGCTTTGTACCTGCAAGAGCTCGCTTGGAGTATTAGAGAGCTCGCACAAGAGTTTGTTTTGTTTGAAAGTTTGTTTGTGTTTTAGGTTTTGAATTTGAGAGTTTTAGTTTTGTTAGTTTTGTTTGTTGTTTTAGTTATTGTGAGTTGTTTTAGGTTGATTAGTGTGAACACTGTTTATTATGTATTTTATTTTATTTAAAAGATTTTAAATTGGTTGATTGGTTAACTATTTAGTTAATTATGTTTGGTTAAATGAATTTTGAAATGATTAATGAATTTTAAATTGATTATTTGAATTTATGTAAATTTGATTATTTAGTCTTTATTTGAATTTATTATTTAATTAAAATTTTATATATATTAAATGGATTAAAGTTATATGTTAAAGTTTAAATTTATTTTGAATTTTAACTTAATTTTAATTAATTAAATGAATTAATTAAATTAAGATTTTAATTTTATTTAATTTATTAATTCGATTAATTAATTAGAAATTTTAAATTCATGTTAATTAAATAGTCAAATTAATTATCGCTCTGCAATTGTTCCAAAAAGAGAATTTCCTACGATCTTATGAGGAATTTCAGCAGCCTCCCAAGGTCACCTCCCCTCGTGGGGAGGTCTTTGAATTAAACATCATCCCACCAGATCAATGATTAATGGCGCGGGATCTTAAAAATCGACGATTAAATTATCTATTCATTGCCAAGTTTTTTTTTTTTTTTTTGGAGTGAGCAAAATTAAAACCTAGTAACTTGTTATTTCTTCACCTCCACTAAAATATGAATTCATAAGCTTATGGACTGCAGGCTATCGTATTAGTTGGGTACAAATAGGTGAGATTTCAAATAGAGGCTTGTTCACGTTTTGGAATTGTATGAGAAGGGAATACTTGCTCACTATATGCTTGCGGTTGGAAAAAGAGTTTGACTAAATAGATGGATTGCAAGCGGTTGAGGGAAGAAGACGGGTCAGTGTCGAGTGTAGTAGGCATTCGGGGAGTTCGGAGGTAGTGATGAGGGAAATTTCATGAAGGGAGGGCATGAAGCCCGACATATAGGCAAACCTTCGATTATTAAGACCAAGGGGGTTGAAGGAGACGATGAAGCTAGCCTAGATAGCGGAGGATCAGATTCAGATGGAGAAGGTTAGCAGGAGCGGAGTCACAGGAAACTCCTAAAGGAGTACCTCAACTAAACTAGCACCGATGACTCGGACGATATCTTTTTAGTGGGAGCACCGAAGGAGAAGAGTGGGGGAGTTCACCCCTGAGCCAACTTCAAGCTTCTAATAGAGGCAGAGGTGTAGGACAAAAATGTGAATGATTTGTGTTTCTGATGTGATGAGAAGTATGCACTTGACCATCGATGCAAGTACCGCTCCAGATCCTGGTTTGTGATGAAGAGGAGACCGACAACAATGAGTTGAGTGAGAAAGCATAAAAGGGAGAAGAACACATACACATTGATGTGGCAGAAATGTCCCTGAACTCAGTGGTGGGATTTACTCCATATCACACCATGAAGTTG